TTCGGACAACCTTAATCGGGCTCATCTCGACTACTTCTATTGGCTACTGGCTGGGCTTAGTGCTACTTTGTTTGCTATCTACTTGTACTTTGCAAAATCTTATGTCTATAATCGAAGAAACAGTCTTTGAAGAAGCATAGAAACATTAGCTGGACAAATATGGCTAGTAGAAGAAGAAACTGGGCTAAAAATATCTTGTTTGTTTCTTAGGTGGTGGTTTTAAATAAATAAATGTTGTTTGCTTGTCTTATGCAGTTATGCATCTCAAAAAAGTTGTTTTTAATACGGAAATGAAAAATTCCAAGCTGATTATAGAGGTAAATTTCCTTGCTTATGGTACAAACTATAGATGTTATATGCGGTCAAAACATGTTTTCTTTGATGAACGTATAAGAATCAAATATTGTTACTTATTGAAAGAGTAGTAGTGTTAGAGTATTAGTTTATATGGCATTATGTGTTAGGTTTAATAAAAGGTAAAATTATGTGATTTATTGAATTATACCTTTCATTTAACGAAACTTAATGCCACATATATTGGTGTTTTAACATAGTATTAATCTTATCGAAACACGAACTCGAATGAAAGAACACTAAAATCAAAGAAAAATGATATTCATCCCCACTGGGGATGCATCCCCAGTCTATGTGGACGTAAATGATTGGTTAAATGATATGTGAAATTAAATGACTTATTTAATTTCACCTATCATTTAATGTTACATTAACGCCACATAGACTGGGGATGAATAGCATTTCTCAAAATCAAATATGTTTCGAGTTAATTTGTATCCCTCAAATCATTTTTATATCATCACGTATTTCTTGAGATACTAAAATCATAGTTCAAGAATAAATAAATTCTATTAAAATTTGTTATGCTAAATAAAATCCCTTTTTCCGTTACTCATTTTTGTCAAAGTGGGGTGGTTGTTGAGCCAATCTCTTTCGCCATCCGAATCGATAAATAATTTGAAGGCCCGAACTCAATTCTTAGACCACGTTCTTCATGGCTCGCCCATGGTAACTTTTAAAAGAGGAAATTACAGCCAGCCCTACCTTTAGATTTCCATTTTCATAAGTCACATATCAAGTTTAACTTTTCAAAAATCAGGTTTTTTATATTTAATTTAATATTAATTATATTATTTTCATCCCAATTAAAATAAACAAACCAACCCTAAAATTCATTTAACCCTATCAACCGCCGTTCTCTCCTCCTGCCCACCGCCGTTCTCTCCTCCCCGTCTCTGTCAACAGGTATCTCTCTCTCTCTCTCTCTCTAATTTTTTCTCCCTCTCCACTCCGACGAAAGGCGATCTAGATCTGTTGTTTTGTTTTTCAGCAGCGTCGCCTGCCTTTTTTTCACTTCCAGATCTGTTGATGTCGCTTCTGTTCACGTCCACCGGTCGTAGATCTCGTAGCAGCGAACTGCAGAAGCGGCGTCGCGACGCTGTTGCAGTTCGCGTCGCACCGTTCGCCGTTCGCAGATCTCGCAGCAGCGACGTCGCGACGCTGCTGCGTTTCGCGATGCCGAAGGTAAATTCCGTTGCATTTCGAAACGGCGGTGGCATTGTAGTTTTTCGCACAGACTCACTGTAGTTTTTTGTGGTTTTTGATATTTTTGTGCACAGATCCGGCAGCGGTGGTGTCGATAGCCATCCGGCGATTTTGTGTGGTTGGATGCGACGGTGGTGGTAGTGGAGCTTTGTGTGGGGTATTGGTTGTTTCGATGGTGGTGTTGGTACTGGTTGCCGGTAAGATGGTGGCGG